TTTAGGAAGCTGTTGGTAATTCCTTTGAAAAGGCTTTCTTTTCCATTTTACTGTTGTTCCTGTCTGTAACAAAGTCTGATGGTAGGGTTCTGTTTGTCTTTGTACCTCCTAAGACAGCAGAGAATACATTTGTTACTGTATTTTCTATGTAGCCTGTGTCATGAAGTGTTAGCTTTTACATTACTGCAAAGATCAGGCAGAGAGCAAGAAAAATGAGGAAATATTTGGAATTCACTGATGAGTTGTGGTAGGAATAGTACACTTGTCTGAAAAGTTGTATTTGCCAAGGATGAAAAAGTAATCTTTTTTTGCTACTCATTCTTTGTTTGTTTGAGAGTTTTTTCTTTTAAGCTCTGACAGATTTTAGGAGCTGAAAAAGTAGCATCAGCAGAAGCAGAGAAGTTAAGTAGCAGCAAAGAGGAGTGAGAAGGGAGAAACAAAGTTTGTGAAGCAGGAATGGCATGGGAAGGACTGGCCTGGGCATCTTACTGCCACTTATGCCAAGCCCCTTCTGCATGTAGGTTACATCTGAGTATCCCAAACTGCACTGAGGTTTTGGTTGAGGATGTAGCTGCCTGCATGCAACCTGTAAATTGCTGCGTATGTTCTGACTAACTTGCCCATGCACTTTTCTCCCTGCCTGCAAGTTGCCGTCCGCACCTCCTTTCTGACTGCACTGTGCTTCTGACAACTTCGGTTACTTTATCCAAGTGTGGGATATTGTTCTTTTAAGGGACTAGATGAAAAGTGCTGGCAAGCAGTCTTTGTAAATGATCTGGGAAAATTATCTCCTGCTATTTCTACCTATAGCCATATGGTGTTTTGTTCAGAAATTGTTAAAAGAAACCCAGGTAGCTATGTTTTTTTTAATTTTGTTTTAACAAGAGTAGTGCTTTACCTAAACTGTTCTTAGTTAGGGCCTACCAGAGAGGCAGTCAGGTACATATGAGGAAAGTTCTGCTCTGGGTTCAGGTAGGAATCGGATTTTTTTTGATGAAGAGATGTGGGTCTCCCACCACCTAGGATTTGAAGTTTTGGGGCTTGTTTGAAAGTAAGGCAGACCAATTCCAAACTATGATACATCAGCAAGTTATGCTCTCTTCAGCCTGTATTACCTATCAAATTGGCTAGTCTGTGCAGGACTATTATTTTTAATGTGGTTTTAACACTCAGATACGAGGGATGTCTTTGCCATAGTCTGGCTGGTAGCAAAGATGGCAATTGCCCATAGTCTAAGCCTTTCACTGGTGAAAGGAAATCTAAATTGCTGAAGACTGACAGTCGGATATGTCTTTCTCTGTCTGAGTCTCAGCAGGCATACAGTAAGGGACTGTTTCAGTTTGACAGTCTGAAATCCAGCAAAACTTTGTCTGTCAACCTCCTCTTCCCTTTTCTAGAGGCAGTGTTTTTCTCTGCTTTAATGCCAGACACCTGAAAAAGGTGTTTCTCACTCTGTGATGAAGAGGTAGGGAATAGCTGTTGCCCAAGTCTGAGGTTGGTGCTTAGCGGAACTCTATCAACAGTCCGCGTTGTGATGCTGATGATTGATGTTTCTTGTTTCCAGTGGCCTGCCATACCTACTGAGCAAGAGGAGGAGCCCTTCATCATTCCAGATGTACATGGACCTGAGAGGAGGAGCCATTGTTTGACCTGAGCTTCTGGGGAGGATAGATCAAAGTGAGTGCTATACTGCCTTTTCTTACTCTTGTCTTTGCTGCGAAGTGTTTGTGAGTCAGCTCCTTGGACGGTCTTTGACGCTTGTGATCTAGCAGTCTTGTTTAGCTGCATGTTTTCAGCCACTGTCATGTTACCTACTTTGTGTAACTTTATCCAGTGGGTGACAAAATGGTAAGGAATGACTGCTTAAATGAACTTGGCTTTTTTGAGTATCACTGAAACTGCAGAATGCTTCAGGGGCATACTTTAAATTCCTACATTACTGAAGGTCTCTTTTCTCACGTCCTGTCACCACAAATTGATATTGTAAATGTGTTTGACTGCAGCCATCTCTGCTTTTATTCTCACCCCATGGGTAGGAATAGGCCAAGACCTGTTTGAACGGGTAACCCCACGTGAAGCTGAGGGAAATGTTTAAATATGGGTGCTTTGGTCTGTTGGATCCTTTTCTGTCCTTTTTTTTTTAACTATCTACAATCATTCAGGTGACCAGTGTTTTACCTTTTCCTCTTACCTACACTGTCTAAACCTAAATACTCGTATAAAATAGGTTTGTTGTGTCTATTACCATGAAAGTTCTGATCTCATTCTTTCATATTTTATTTGGCATAATAGATATTACATATATCTAAGAACACGTGTGAGAAAGAGTCTGGCAAATAGAGGTATATCCACTTTATCCCCATGTTATTGCTGCATTCTGTGTTGGTAGGTGCAGAAGTTTCCAAGAGGTTACAGTCACTCTGTGGATAGGAGAGCTTTTAAAACAGATTCTGTAACCTCCACTTCTAGGACTGTATTTGTAGGTTAGAAGCCAGTTTGAGTGTATTAGGAGATAGCAGAGCTAAGCATGTGCAAGAATAACTAGGGTTCTGATGGTTTTTAGATGTGATCTCAAACTGGTGATGACCAAAGTGACTTCTTTAGCTGTGCAGGTGAGATTGAATGAGGTATGCTGACCTACTGGAAGCCTAAACAGAAAAGAGTACAGCATATGGATGGTCTGTAAGCATTATATTTTCCTGCTTGCATGCTCATGTTTTATGTGGTTTTGCTTTGTTTATTTCCATGGGAAAAGTGTTTTTGTCTCTAGTTTGACTTCTGGTATAACAGAAATACGAATGAAGTCAAATCTATCGTGACCAGGGAAGGCCTTTTGCAGAGTGTGCACAGAAAGCTGTTATAATAACAGCTTCTGGGTTCTTTAAATACCATCATCACACAAATTACTTCTATATAAAACTCCCAAATCTGAATTTTTGTACTTGTGTATTTACTGTGTGAATTTAAACAATACCATGCAACTTACTTCCACAATTAAAAACTGAATTCCCATCTGATAATTTTCTTTTCTAAAAAAGTTTGTTGTCTTCTCTAGGAGTAACTGTAATACAAAAATAAAGGTAAGCTTTTCAGAGAAGATATTCCCTTTCCTCTCCTCCATGCATGATATGGTCACGTAAATGAAATAAGGTATCCTGTGTATTAGATGAAGTAACTTTAGAATGTCCCTGGATTACCTTTCTCACTAGGGAGTAGGTAGTGAACTCTAGAGGCATTTGCTGTTGGGTTGGGATGACAGGATAGCTGAGGTTGGAAGGAACCTCTAGGAGTTGTCTCATCCAATCCCCTTGAGTCAAAGCAAGGTGACCTAGAGCTGAGTACTGAGGGCCATGTCCAGCTGAGTTCTGAACATCTTCAAGGGCAGAGGCTCCACAGCCTTCCTGTGCAACAGAGTTAAAAGGGTTTTTTCTTATGTTAAAATGGAATTTCTTCTTTTTTTTTTTTTTGTCTCTTGTCTTTCATCATGTTGCTAGACACTACTGAGAAGACTCTGGCTCTGTCTTATCTACTTCCCCCTCCCCCCCCCGCCCCAGATAATTACATACATTGATAAGATCCTCCTGAGCCTCAGCATCCTCAGCCTGGCCTTGTATGACTGATTGTCCAGTCTCTTGATGGTTCTAGTAGTCCCTTGCCACACTGGCTCTAGTATGTACATCTTTTCTAGCACTGGAAAACCCAGAGCTGTACACAGCACTTCAGATGTGGTCCCATGTGCATTGACCAGGGCAGAAGGATAACCTCCTTCACCCTGCTTCCAATGTTCTTCAGGGGCCCAGGATGCTTTTCATCCCAGAAGTGTACTGGCTACTGGTCAACTTGGCCCATCTCCAGGTCTTTTCTTGCAAATCTGCTCTCCTGACAGCAGTTTGTAGGACTTGACATTTACCTTTGTTGACCTCCATGAGGATCCTCTCTGCTCACCTCTCCAGCCTGCTGAAGAACCTCTGAAGCACAACCATCTGGTGCATCAACCCCTCCTCACAGTTTTGCATCATCTGCAAACTTGCTGAGGGTGTGCTTTGTCCCATCAGCCATCTCTTAAAGTGCATGTGTTTAAAAAGTGGTCTTGCTGAGTACCTGAGCAGGGAGATTGGGGTTTTAGTCCTAAATGCACCAGGGCCTTTAAAAGTTCTAGATAATTATTGCTTAACTGGTAGCAGCACAGAGAAATCATAGCTAATGCTGCGCTGGGCAAACACTATTTGCAGGTATAGTTTCCCCAGGTCTAAAAGCATTCTAGGTGCATTTTCATGGCATTGTAACTCAGTTTTTAAGTTACGATGGGACAGTGTGAAATGGTAGTTTGTATGAAGGCTGCAGATTTCATTACTATCTTTACTTTTTTCTTTTTTTAATGTTATCTTCAGACCTGAGCTTATTTAGAGTGTGTCTGGCAGTTTCTGTATCATAGCCCTAGCACCTTTCATCACAGGATTAAATCCTGAAGTACACCAGTGACTCCACAGCCCAGGTGTAGATAGGCTCCAAGTTGCTTCCGTCATATACTGCTGAATGTTTCTTCCCTGTCTTTCAGGTATCTGTGTAAGACCTTGCTTACAAAGTAAGTAAGTTACAAAGTTGTGAAGTACCCAGAATTAATACTAGTTGGTGGAATGATCAAAGTTCTGATTCAGACACTCATTTGGTTCCCAATCCATGCAGGTACCCTGGTTTTGAGCCCAGGATGGAGAGGAGCTGTAGAACCTGAGAGCACATTGAGGTCAACTTTCAGAAGACAGAGTAGCTGAGTTCAAAGCAATAGCTAAGATTAAAGCAAATGCACCCTTAAGTAGCTTTTGCTATTATGAATCTGAGCATTGATTGTTGTAGCTGTTAAATCTGCTCAGTTTTATGTTCTGTATGCAGAACTCTATGACTAACCTTAGCCATTTCAGAAAGGTATAATTTGAAATATAGTTTTGGGCATACGTTTGTGACCATTCTAATACAACCTTTGGGACTATTCACTTTCCAGAATGTTTGTTGGATATGAAGATGCTGAGGATACTGAAATATATGAAGATGAACTTTATCATGAGGAGTCATCCAGTGAGGAGAACATTGACAGTGAGGTGGAATTTCATCTCTACAGCCAGATCCACTATTCCCAGAATCTTGGAGAAATAAGCACGATGGAAATGGATGAGGAAGCTGATGTTTCAGGAGTTTCAGGAGTTACGGGTCATAGTTCAGTTCTAACTGAGAAACAGTGTGTAAACAAGAACATCACTGAATCTGTGCCTTGTGTTCAAGTTTCAGATGACTCTGAGGTCATTGTCTTGTCTGATACATCAGATGAAGACAGTGTTTACAAAAGCAAAGCAATGAAATCAAGAAAGTTTTTAGCTCAAGGTGAAATACATATACATCCAGGATCTTCCACGCCGTATCATACCAAAGCTGCTGGAGGTAGTACCCTGTATCCTGCTGGGTCAGGCAAAGACATTTCAAGGCAAAGGAAAAGCATTAGTGGGAAGCATAACCCAGTTAGTTCTGCTGGAGCTCATGCCATCCAAGACGTGCTTGTAATAGATGATAGCTCTGAGGAGGAGAGTTTGGCATCTGCAAGTGATAATGTCGAGAGCTGGATGCTTCTGGGAGCCGGTGCAGATGACAGAGATGAACATATATTGTTGAACCTTGAGGACTGTGCAGCTCCTGTCAGCGAAGGTTAGTACTTTATTTAGTATCTTGTTTTTCTGTATGCATGAGGATTTATCTGGAACAATACTGATGTCAATGTCTGAAAAGAAAGATAAACAGAAAGCAAATGGAAATGTGTAATGATGGGTATGGAACTTTGATGAAAGAAATAGCCATTTATTTATACCACTTAAATACCATTATTTCAGTAATGTCATATATGGAAAGACATAATTCTTTCTGGTAGAAATTTAGAAGTAATATCAGAGTGACTGATGTTGTCAACTTTCCAGCTTTCCCATATATTTTGTATTCCTAAAAGCATATAAGAAGTTGCAGGGGAGCAGGGGGAAGAGGGAGTGAAATAAAGAGGGAATACAATGTTTTCTTACTGTAAACAAAGTAAGCAGATAAAAACTTCCAGACAATCTGAGGACTAAAGTCATAAAGAAGATCAGAAGTGGGAAGTGTGTAACAATAAAAAGTTTGCTGAAAAGTTCTTGCAGGGTAGGAAAGTAATCAGTGCTCATAATCCAGGGAGAAGTCCCATTCCTCTTTCTGTGTGAGGAGATTCCTGCCCACGGCCTGCCCTGCCTCGTTGCAATGCAGACACCCTTGCTTGTTAAGGCTTTGCTGTGTGCTCGACCAGAGAAGTTAAAACTCAGGAAAGGGATGAATGGGATGAATTGTAATGGGGGAGGGTTTTGTGGTTTAAGCCCAGCTGGTAAATCAGAACCACACAGCCCTTCACTCACACCTCCTTTTCTTTCCCCCCCTCCAGGTGGGATGGGGAGGAAAACTGAAAGAATGTAAACCCCACAGGTTGACATAATAGTTCAGTAACTAAAGCATAATACAAAACTACTACTATTACTAATAATAATGGTAAGGGAAATAACAAGGGGAGAGAATATAAAACTAAAAAGGGAAAGGGAAAAAAACAATAAACACAAGTGATGCCCAATACAATTGCTCAGCACCCGCAAACCAATACCCAGCCAGACCCGAGCAGCAATTGGTTCCTTCAGGGTATCTTCCCCCCAGTTTATATACTGGACATGAGGTGCTGTGGTATAGAATACCCCTTTGACTAGTTTGGGCCAGGTGTCCTGTCTCTGCTTCCTCTGGCTTCTTCTGCCCCTTCTCACTGGCAGGGCATGAGAGTGAAAAGTCCTTGGTCAGGGTAAGTGCTACTGAGCAACGACTAAAACACCAGTGTGTTATCAGCATTGTTCTTGGACTAAAGCGAAAGCACAGCACTGCACCAAATACTAGGAAGGAGAAAAATAACTTGCAGCTGAACCCAGGACAGAGGGCAAGAACAGAGAGGAGACCTTCTGACCTGGTTCCCCTTCCTGAAGCAGGTTCTGCGACTGCTCTTTCAGGAGTCTGGCAGTTCGGGTTGTTGACATAAAGTTGACTAACTAACTTCTTGTGTGGATTCTCAGAGAGATTCTCAACTGCTAAGACTTAACATGTAATATTTTGGTATTCTGCAAATTATTCTTCTATGTTATGGTGCAGAAAGTTAGTAAACATGGTGGTTAGAATGACAGTTTTCAGATGAGATTTTAGATGTGTGTTTGTAATAAACACTCTAGGTAATACATAGATTGTCACTAGCAACTAGAAACGTTGTTAGACGATCAGTCATGCATTTTTCTTGCCCAGTGGTTTCGCCGAAGCACAAAGATCATTTCCAGAAATAGCGTCCCCTGCCAGTCTGAGAGAAAATGTTACCGGGACAGAGCCTGCTGTGGTAGCAGGGTTGGCCTGGTCAGCCACATCACTGGGGACCTTGGCAAGGCTCTTATTGTTTGGTTTTATTTTTATTTTTAGTAAAATTTGAATTGAATTTTTCAATTACATTATTTTTCATACCACGATTTTACTTGGTGAGCACATAAGGGAGGTGCTTTTGGTTGCAGGGAAATGGAGTGTTCTGCAGTGCTGACATGCAGGCTGACATTAGTGAAGCTTTTCCTCAGGGTGGCTGTTTAAACAGTGCTACTATTCATATGCTGCTACTAAACTGTTTGAGAGGGGCAAGCTGAGAAATTGTCTTTGCCTTCCTTTCCATCAAAATGCCTGCTTCTTGCCCATAAATGTTCAGTAAGTTTTTGCTTAGGGTTGTTCTTGTTTGGTTTTGCACAGCTGTCCACTTTGCACTTTGATTAATGATGCCAGTGTGCCTTCCCAGGCCTCAGATATCTAAGAAATGCTTTACCTATTCCCAGTGCCATGCCAGAAAAGTAGCAGAGCATTCAGTTGCCATGTCAGAGCCCCAGACAGCCATATTATATTAGGAAGTTGTGTGATTTTCTGCTCCGTATGGATTTCTTCAAATGCAGTTTCTAAGAATTAACTTGAAGTACCTAAATTTCATTATCTTTCTTTTTGTATTTTTATAACCTGCCCTTTTCTTTGAAGCCTTTCGAGAGCTAATTAGCTTGTCTTTCTTAAATTACTCTGCTTCTTGGGGAGCAAATGTTTGGTGCTGTGTGGTGACCATATAGCAGAGTTAATACGTTTTCTGGGTAATGCCTATTTTTCTTATGACTGCTGGGCAGGCAAATATCCTGGATCTAGGTTTCTTTTTTTCAATTTACTCTGTGTATGTCCTTGGATTTATGTACCAAAATTGCTGATGGTAGTGCTAAAGATTACCCAACCTCCCCCAAGAAGAAATATGCTTAAGACTTTAAGCATATTTCAAAATTACATATACACATTTTGAGAAACATTCTGTAGTTAATTTATTGGAGTAATTATGCTTACTAGGTGTAACATGAAAATGAAAATTAATTTCTTCATGCTATTCTATGAAGGTGTGACAGTGTTAACCAAGAGGGGCTTTTAAAAATGAATTGAGCTAACTTACGGTATGTTTTTGTAACAAGCATAGTAATGTTTCTTATTCATATATATATATATTCATAGATTCTGACAATAAGCAAGCCACATTCAAAGCAGCTAACAGGAGCAGGATTTTCCTGCGCTTTATAAACTTGTCCCACTGTTCAGAACTAAAGTTGTTTCATTAAGTGTAGGCAATTCAGACATTTCTTGAGATGCTTGAATGGGAAGTCAGACAGCCACACAAGAGGCTCCTAAATACAATTGTTCTTCTCTTACTCTGATTTTTATTCTCAAGCTACATCAGAATTTCTTCAAAACCCATTCTTGCGCCTTGCCTCACATCAGTAGTGCTCACCAGCAGCAGCCTTGTGCCTGGAGACGTGGGATGTATGGAATGCGCATCAGGCACAGGCAGCTGTCTGGGAGCAGTTGTACGCACACATCTGCCTCTTCACTTTAGCTTTTGCCTTTCTATTTATATAAGACTTAGCAGAAAACCTCACCTTGGCACATTTGCTCTCACTGTGAAAAAGTTGATGATGATCCATTTGGTCTGCTGTATGGAGTGGGCAGAGCAGAAGCCTATGCCCTCATGCTGGCCCTGGCACAGGCATCACCTGAGGGTACTACAGGGCTGGCCTTTGGCCAAACCCCTGGTGCTCCGCTGCATTCCAAATTCCAGCAAATGTTATTCAGTGACTCTGGCATGCAAAAGTTTGTTTGAGCTGCTCTGTTTCTAATATGTATGGTGATAGGGATGTAAAGTGCAGGCTTAAAATAAATTGTTGTTGTACATGTGTGTGTATGTAATGAAAAGCTGAAACAGCATCAGAATAGTTTTAGAGAACAAACACCATAAATCTTTTTAATGTAACCATAATTTGTTCACTAGTCTCATGCAGCATTTTATCTCCAGTTGTATAGATTTAAAGGACTCCTATGCTAAAACATAAACCTATTAAATCTGAAGGAAGAAATGTACTTTAAAAATGTTAGTAAATTAGCCTCTCAAAGATAGTCTCTGCTTATTCATTTAAATTATTTTGAGACACACACAGTTCTGTTTTCAGGGTTTCTAAAGAATGAGATCAAGTATGTGACTGCACAGTATGTAAATTACTATTTTAGGGCTTGTAGTATCAGTAAGGATGGACGTTAAGTATAGTGAGTGGTGAAGCCTTTTCTCTCCAGAAACTGCCAGTGTCTGTGTAAGTGGGCTAGACCACCCGTGACAGTGTCATGGTATGTCTAGTGTCCAGTTTGCTCCACATTAAAGAGGGAACTGAAATGTGAACAATTCTCTGATGCTAAGAGTAGCTGGTTGTATCAGTTATTTGATGAGTCTGTTTTCTTGTCTGAAGCCTTGAAATATTGATGCTGAGGTTCCACTGGAGTCAGAAATAACTCCTCAAGGAAAGGAATTAGGTGTATTCCCTTATTCTGTTAACTCTTCTACATCTTACTTGCCTGTCCTGATCTTCTCTAGCAGACTTATTATTTTTAATATTCTGTATAAACAAATAACAATTTCTTAGTGCCTCCAGTGCACAGAGAATCCTCTCCCCATACAGCCAGAAAGCTTCAGTCACCACCGTATGTGACAGGAAGAGATGTCCCTTTGTCTTGGGAAATGAGCTCTAGTTCCTGATGGTAAACCAAGAATCACCTGTACCCTTCTGCCTCCAGTTGGCATCTTGAAAGTTATGGCTGGTCCACAAACCCTGCTGTTCAGTACACAGTTGAAAACTTTTCCTCCCTTTTCTGCCCTCTTTTCAAATGGCCTTGGATGCCTTTCATTTCTTATTTCTGCTTGTGTAACACCACATTAAGCAACACTATACCTGTGCCCATATTTCTATAAAATACGATGTTTAATCATATGTCTGCTGGTTTCTCAGCACGTATAGCTGGTTGGCAACCTTTTGTTAATTGGGATATGATGATAGGCACTGGCTTTCTTGTTTCACATAGCAGGATATCAGGGAAAGCACTTCATATGTCTGTAGTGACTGTGTCCCTCCTTACACTGACTTTGTTTTTCTGTGTGAGACTGTGAATGGATTGGAAGTAAAGCAGGCACTTGACCTACAGATGGGTTGGCTAATCTGAAAGATGGCGACCACATCCCTGTGTGTGTTACTTGCCCCACCTGGCTGCTGGTGCGTTTCCATTC